CGTGCGCCAGTGCGTGAGCTCCACCCGCCTGTGCGGCTACCCCGTGCCCAAGGTAGGTGGCCGCCAGGGGGGCCCGCGCCCCACCCAGCTGCAGAAAACGCCCTTCCTGCCCGGCGTCGCTGCTACCGCTTCTGCCAAACCCGCAGGCTGTCGCTCATGTCTGCCCCTCCTGTCACCGACGCCGGGTGGTGACGAAAAGAATGCACTCAGGGTGGATGACGTCAAAGTTCCCGAGGCTCAGAGACCGTCCTTGCTGACAGTCTAAGGAAGCGCTCCCAGCGCTTCCTCTCTGCCTGCGGTGCCCGTACCCACCACGCCACTTGCCGGACACCTTAAGTAGCAGTTTTGTTTTGTTTTGTTTTGTTTGAGAGGATTTTCACTATAGGGCAGGTGCACTCGCCAGACAGACAGAGAGAGACATAGAGACAGAAACCAAGAAATCACCCCCCAGAGGGGATGGTCACGCCACAATCCCTTCTCCTCCATTCTCCTCTCGGGATCTTGGGCATGCCCGCACATGTGCCCGGCATGAGTTTAAGCCACTGGGTCCGGGATTTGAACCGTGGTCGACTACATGGGAGTCCAGCGACATAGCCATTATGCTAACTGCTAGTCCCCCGTGGGTTTTTGATAAGAACTGGCCCACACCATAGTAATACCTGCTCTCTGCTGAGGCTGACTGTGTGCTCAGGGCTTTGCACCCACTGTGTCATCAGTCCTCACAGAAGGTCGTGAGATACAGTGGTGTTCTGCATTGTTGGTCACGCCATGCAGAGCGTAGACAAAAAGGGCTGAATTAGTTCTCTATCTTGCTGTATAGCATATTATTCCAAAACCAAGCAGTTTAAAACAGTTGCACTGGGCCAGCTGGTGGTTGGGGCAGCTGGGTCACACATGGCTGTCTCCCATGGTTTGAGTCCCAGCCCCAGTGGCTTAAAAGACATGCCAGACATGTGTGTGCCCAAAGTCCTGAGAGGAGAATGGAGGAGAAGGGATTGTGATGCGGCCACCCTTCACAGGGGGCGACGTCTCACTTTCTCTCTGTCCCTCTCTGGCAAGCACATGCACTCTATAGCAAAACTTAGAAAGCAAACACAACAGAGCATTTATAATTTCCCAGTTTCTGAGAGTCCGTAAACTGAGTGCAGCTTAGCCAGGTGCCTCTGATTTGAGATCTCACGAGGTTGCCATCAAGTCCATCTGAAAGCTCCACTGGGGCGTCTCCACTTCAAGCTCACTCAGGTCTGAATTCAGGATTCACCTGAATCCTACCCTTCAAGGGAGGAGATTGAGCATGAACCCCAGGAGTGGACATTGGGGTCATTTTAAAGGTCCAGGACTTGAACCACAGTTGGCCATGTGGTAGTCCAGCACCCTTAACCACCATGCCACCTGCTGGCCCCAAATGAAAACATTTAAGCAGACAATGCAGCATAGGTGTGTGTGTGCCAAAGTGGCCATCTCAGTGACCACGGAGCCCAGGTGCTCATCCCCATGCCTAGCGCAGGGCGCCCCCTCTGTGCTCAAGGTGGAAGCCGGAGTAAGACTTCCTCCAGAGAGGGCCTTGAGTCTAGCCTGGTGCTCTAGCCCTCCCTCTGTGGAATCCGCTCCATCCAGAGAGTCTTCACAAGAGTCTTTACTCAGCTCTTATTACTGCGGCTCAGCTCGGGTGGACTCAACTCCAGGGGCCATGTCAGGGCCCATTGTTAACTTAGTAATTTGCTCAGACTTGAGATTCCCACTCCGTACACCCCTTCTTCACAGCCTGTCCTTTAGAGATGGTCGTTTTTGTTATTTCTTTTTATAGACAGGGAAACTTCAGCTTAGCTCAAGTGACCGCTGGAAATGCACAGCTAGCCTGTAAGTCCAGTCCCCGAGCCACAGATCGGTGTCTGACTCCAGTTCTGGCTCTTCCCACTGTGCTCTCTGCTGTTGTCTTGCTCCCCAAACTGCCCCTCTCATAGGTCGACGAGCCCCCGTGTTAACTAGAGTGGATCTGCACGGCCCATCGGTCTGCCTGATCGCCGATACGGGACTACCCTTGGCAGTAGCTGGGCCACAGGCTCATAGACTTGTCAAGGTCCCTGGGTGTGAGGACAGAACCACATTACCAGCTCGTCTTGCTGGTGGCAGGGCAGAAAGGCTGGGCCCAGGTTGTCCAAATGCTGTGCCAAGTTAGATCAAGTTAAAGGAGGGGGACAGGGGTTAGCCCTGTTTTATGCATTTGGGATTAGAAATTTCCTTAAGAGCCTATGCCGGCCAGTTAGATTCTAGGAGTTCTGTGATAAAGCTCCAGGGAACCATTAGCAACCTGCAGTCAATAGTGAGCGTTCACAGCTTGGGTGAGCGATGTCTGCCGAACGTGGGCGAAAGCACGGCAGATCACTACGCTTACAGATACTGCTGAGCTGTCCTGCTCCAGCAGCTGGGCGTTCCATAGCCACAGCAGCAATGGCCCCTCGAGTACTCAGCACGCCTCAAGCCTGTCTCTCCTCATTCTATTTGGTCGTGAACTCCGAATGCCACTTACTGGGGAGGAGCTGGGGGCGGGGAGGGTTGCCCATCTTCTGCATGGATAGGCTACGCTCCGAACCTGTCCCGTGTGCTCATATCAGCCAGTCACTTTGGGAGGAGACCAGCACGTCACGCAGAGTAGCGTATAGCTACTGCAGGGGAAGAGCCCCTTGCCAGAAGCCTCTTCCTCTGAAGAAAATGATTAACTGCTGCAATGCAGAGACGTACTTGATCCCAGGTGGCCAGAGCAGGGCCAAATTCCCAGGAATACTATTGGGAAAGGGATAGCTCATACGGGCAGCAGCGAGAACACGTACCTTCCATCACCACCTCTGCTTACCGCCCCGGAGAGGCCAGGTCCGGGTGCCGGATTGCAACAACAGAAAAGTGTGTCCTGAAATTACTTACTTCAGTTCGATTTCTGCATTCTTTATTGGCTTCTGTTTGGGATGCAGACTTTTTTGTTTGTTTGTTTTTTTAAATAATTATTTTATTTAATGTTATTTATTTATTTAACCAGAGAGGGACAGAGTGAGAGAGAAAGTGAGAAAGCAAGCTGCCAAGTCCAGGACTCGAACTGTGGTCACCCGTGTGGGAGTCCAGCGCCCTTAACCATCATGCCACCTGCCAGCCCCCCGTTATTTTTTTATTTTTTAATTCTAAGCTATCTTCGTCAAAACTAAGAAGCCAGCCGCCAGCCTCCGGTCCTGCAGAGCAGCTGGTCTGCTTCTATGGTATTTTGCAAATGAGCTCATCTGGGGCCTGAGGTCCCCTGAATCCTGGAGCTGAGTGTCCTATCTCTTGGAGCCATAACCACCCCCTTTATCCCCAGCCCCATGTGCTTTCTGCCTTCCCCAACCCCAGAGAGTGAAGTGTTCTGTCTCCCGCTTTTCCATCCCTCAGCCTTTCTGTCCACCTGCTTGCCATTTCATGCCTCCTCTTCTCTCTGTGACACACGCACTCGTGCACACACACAACTAGCCCTGGTGTCTGTTGCTAGGCGCTGTGTGTGGGCCCCTCCCGTCATGTTGGAGAGCTGCTGGCCTCTCCAAGGAGCGAGTGGCTCCCTGTCGCTGGTCCTGGCCTGGGAGTCTTCAGGACATGTGGGTGTAATGCTGGCTCCTCGCTGATAAGAGCCTGGAGGGAGGCCACCCCAAAAAGGCCTGCCTGCTGAGTCTCCCCCAGGCCAGCTCCCTGGGGCCACCGTCACAGTCTGCTGGGTGCCGTCTGAACTCAGTCTGACCCGGTGTCAGGGCTGGGTACCGGGCCCTCTGCAGCTCCCTGAGCCACCCCAGCTCCCCTCTGCAGGGCACCATCATCTTGCCCAACCTGGCCTCCGTGCTCCATGACCCTGAGTGCTGGGAGACTCCTCGACAGTTCAATCCAGGTCACTTCCTGGACAAGGATGGAAACTTTGTGGTCAATGAGGCCTTTCTGCCCTTCTCTGCAGGTACAAGGCCCGGTGATGGGTCCTGGGTCGTAGGCGGGGATGTGCTGGGTCAGATACGAGGCAGAACTCAGAGCCATCCTCTGACCCTTCTCTCTGCTTCTAGGGCATCGGGTGTGCCCAGGAGAGCAGCTGGCGCGAATGGAGCTCTTCCTGATGTTCGCCACCCTCCTCAGGACCTTTCGGTTCCAACTGCCAGAGGGGAGCCCGGGGCTCAGGCTGGAGTCTGTCTTCGGGGGCACTCTGCAGCCCCAGCCCCAGAAGATCTGTGCAGTGCCCCGCCTGAGCGAGCCCAGCCCGCGTCATAGGGAAGCCGGCCTGTAGCCAGTCAGGGTCTGGAGGCCCGTCCTCCTGCAAAGACAGAGAAGGGAAAGGACGGGGTTCCCAGCTCACCTGCTCGTCATTCCCCAACACAAGCTCCCTGGGGCGACATAGGCGAGTAGATTTATCAAGGATCCTACACATGTAGCTGAGTTTTTAGGTTAGATTGCTTTGACAGGGAAGGATTTTACAAGTTAGTGAAGGTTTGGCATTAAAGCAATACACAGGGTTAATTTTGGGGGAATCAAACCTCACAAGGCACCAGCTTAAAGGTTCAGAGGAAAGGCTTTCTAGCAAAACCGTAAACATAAAAATGCATGCAAAATACCGTGGATGCCAGGGACTGATACCTCCAAAATAGGCAGCTGACTTTCTGCCCTCGCCTGCCCTCTCCCGACCACAGGGAAGAAGTACACGTCCCTGTGGACCCAGAGCAGGGAAAGATCTAGGCAAAGCCAGAAGCCAACATAATTGTTCCCAGCAAATTCTCCACCAAGGATTCCCTGTACCTTCCCCAGAAGGGTCCCCAAGTTTTGAAACTTTATGTCTCTAGATAAATCTTCTTTATTAAAAAAAAATTATTTGCATTGGGGCTAGCAGGTGGTGTGGTGGTTGGGCTCCTGGACTCCCACGTGGCCGACTGCAGTTTGAGTCCTAGACCTGGCAGCTTGCTGTCTCACTTTCCCTCTCTCTCTGGTGAGCGCACATGCTCTGTAGCAAATTAAGATAATGATAATGACAAATAAAATGAAATACTTCTTAAAAAAATGATTTGTATCAAGGATATTAAAACAAAAATGAAATAACACTACACACCTATTAGAATTGGTCACAGCAAAACCTTGGCAATCCCAAGTACTGGGAAGTCACAGAGCAACTGGAACCTGATACACGGCTGGTGGGAACGCACAATGGTGCAGCCACGCCAAAAACAGTGTGGTGATTTCTTGTAAAGTTAAACAGCATACCATACAACCCAGCCATCCCACCCCCACCCCAGAATAAACCCAAATGCATTCTACGTGCTCATGTGGAAGATACTCTTGAAAAGGCAAAACTAGAAAGACAGAGGGACCAGCGGGTGCTGTGGTGGTTAAGGCACTGGACATGCCCACATGACAGACCACGGTTCGAGTCCTGGACCTAGTGGCTTGCTTCCTCACTTTCTCTCTCTCTGTCTCTTTCTGTTCAAATTAAAAATAAATAAATGAATAAACTTAAAATAAATAATTCTCTTAAAAAACAACTAGAAGGACAGAAAACAAGTGGTTGCCAGGTCTGGGAGTGGCTTTAAGTAGACTCTAAAGTGCTACCAGTGAGCTTTCTGGAGTTCCGGAAGTGCTGTCTCTTGACTATGATTACATGCTACATGTGTCTTTCAAAACTCAACAACTGTACACTTAAGGAGGTGAATGTTACTGTGTATACATCATCTCTCAATAAACCTGACTTTTTTTTTTTTTTGATGTTTTTGCCTTAGGGATATGTGCACTCGCTGGAGAGAAAGAGGGAGATGAAGACAGAGACAGTGAAAGGGAAAGTGAGAAATCACCCCCCAGGAGGGATGGCCACACCTAGTCCCTTCTCCATTCTCTTCCTGGGATCTTGGGCTCACAGCGACTCGTGCGTGACTTTCTTTCTCTTTTTTTTTAAAAAAATTATTTTATTGAACTTTATTTACACATTTATTTTATTTTATTTATTTATTTTTATAATTATTTTAGAGGTTGAGAGTGAGAGAGAGAGGAAGTGAGAAAGCAAGCCACTAGATTCAGGACTTGAACCCTGGTCGGTCATGTGGGAGTGTCCAGCGCCTTAATCACCACGCCACCTGCTGGTCCCTACACATTTATTTTAAATTTACCAGAGAGGGACAGAGTAAGAGAGAGAGAGAGAAAGTGATAAAGCAAGCTGCCAGGTCCGGAACTGAAACTGGGATCAGTCATGTGTGAGTTCAACGTCTTTAACCACCACGCCACCTGCTGGCCCTGCGCCTGGCATAATTTTCAAGTCATTGGGTACAGGACTTGAACTGTGGTCATCCACGTGGGAGTCTAGTGGTATAACTGTTACACCATTTGCTCAATAAACCTGACTTTTAAAGAACAAATACTGGGGACCAGCAGGTAGCATGGTGGTTAAGGTCCTGCATGGCTGACCACAGTCAAATCCTGGATCTGGTGGCTTGCTTTCTCATTTTCCCTCTCTCTCTGGTCAAAAAAAATTTTTTTAATGAATGAGTGAATAAATAAAGCTAAATAAATAATTCTGTTTTTTTTTTTCTTTCCCTTTTTGGCATAGGGCATGTGCATTCGCCAGAAAGACAGAGACAGAGAGACAGAAAGTGAAAAACCATCCTGCAGGGGGGGGGGATGGCCGTGCCACAATCCCTTCTCCTTTATTTTCCTCTTGGAATCTTGGGCACGCACGCACACGTGCCTGGCGTGAGTTTAAGCCACTGGGTCTGGGACTTGAACCGTGGTCGACTACATGGGAGTCCAGTGACATAGCCATTACGCTAATGCTGGTCCCAATATATAATTTTTTTTTTTCAGGCACAGAAACTTGTCATTTTTATTTGGGTAACAAAGGGTCTCCAAATTATATTGAAAAATAAATCCTAATTAATCAATATCACTCCTGTAAAAAAAAAATTAGCACTTTTCACAAATGGCTTATGTAAAAGAGAAGAAAATACACATAATTTTATAATATCTTAAACTTTTTTATTCCCTATCATTGACATTAATTCTGTCTTTTGTTTTCTTTCAGTTTTCTACAATTTCCAGCTTGTACCTGTACTTAATATTGCTTTAATCTGCTAAAGACATTAACTGATTGCTTTCCTAAATCTAAGGATTATATATTTTAGTATAAATATATATCACATATTTTCTTAAAATTTTGACAAAACCCAATAAGCATGCCTTGTTTAAGTCCATGCTCCTTCTACTGTTTATAAAATCTGATTTTATGATCAAAAATTCTTGGTTGTCACTCTTCAGTTACAACAGTCTTCCTTCTGAACTGCCACTCACTGTTTACATAATAACAAGCAATAGAAAAACCAAAGAAATTATGTTAATCTCAGTTCTTCCTTTTGACACTATAAAATAATGTGAACCTTTTTAAAAATTTTTTTAACGAAACAAATACATCCAAAACTCAATACATTCAAATGAGCTGAGTTCCTTTAAGGTGGAAGGCCACAGTTCATTCTCTTAACTATGCTGCCACTGCTCAAAATACCTTTAAAAACTCTTTTAGGATTGCTCTCAAAGCCAGCGGCATACTTCTTAGATTTAACTGCTGGAAACCACAATTACCTTAGAACGCAATTCTGAAAGAGTGAACCCAAGAGGTTTTGGGCAATGGTGGATTACTGGCATTAGGAAACAACCTTCCAGCATGATCACTATGCAGGGTAACATTCATTTAGCTGTCTATGCTCTGGCATATTTGTTTAAACATTCTGAGCGTTAGACGTTATTCTGTTAAAAAGGAATATCATTCTTTAAAAAGAAAAGAATGTTATTCCTTTAAAGCATCTGTCAAAGTAAGCACTACAGAAGTGTTTTGTTAGAAATAGTTCTCCTTACTTTCTCAATAAAGTCTACTTTTTAAAACTTGAAAGCAAATAAGCAACTTATTTGCCCTCAAGCCTTTAAAAATCATTAACTCAAGATAAAATAATTTGAAATTTCTAAAGTACTAAAAAACAAAACAATCCCAATGTAATAAAAACACATCAAGAACCAAACTACAATTTCTGAGCTGCACTGTTTATTTTGCTGCTTGAAACCTAAGTGACAGTATGCCACTATAATTATGGGGTTTCATCTAAACCTTTACTACACTGCAGGTACAGGAATATACGGACACCTTTTTGGAGAATTGACATTTTGCAAAATGCAGCAAACATTTTAATTTATACATGAGAAAAGGAAGTGTTCAAAAGGGTATGCATTTCAAGTTATTGCAGGTTATTTGTGAGAGAATTTCTGCAGGTAAAACATGTTTAAATTTAACCAACAGTAGCGTGTCAGTGTATTTAAAATCATGACAAAAATCTTCTCTCTGGTCATGTTGCCCATGACAAATTACTATGATGTTGTGTGTTTAGGGCAAGATGTCAATACAGCATAAATCCCATGATATTTTGGTTTTCTTCTGGAGATTAAAGCTGTTTTTCTTGGGATAAATGCAGCAGCAAAACACAAACCAGTTGATCAAAAAAGCACTTCTGCCATAACTCCAATAATTTTCAGGACACATCAACCGACAGTAGTTTTGCCATTCCCAGTTCTTTTAAGGATTACATCTCTGCACTGTTGCCTTAAGTACGTCTGTAAAAGCTTGTTCTCCGTTAAGCCCGTTTACTGACTACAGCCTGGTTGGGAGAATTTAGTTGATTGGTCCATTTATCTAGTGCAGTATATCGTGCACCACCCCTCTTCTGATGGTCTAGTTCAAGGATTCGTCCATGAATAGTGTTACCCAATATGCACTGCACCAGCAAGCTCTCCACACCAGCTACATCTGTGTTTAACTCCTTAGAAATAAAAGGAATATGTATTCTTGTGTAAGGCTTAATTAATTTTATGAGCACTTGTGTTCTGATGTTTCGCAATCAGTGTGTTCTCTTGTGAAAGGATCGTCTATGATGTTGCTGTGATTTGTTTTCAGAATCTTTTCAAATTCAGCGATGTCATTATTCTGATAGGCACTTACTAGATTTGTCATTGCAAGAATTTCTGGATCATTCTTGTATGGTTTGGCCTCCTGTGAGTCAAACGGATTTATTCCCGATTTCGTTAAGCATATTTGCTAAGACCAAATATTTTAAGCAAGTGGTTCGTCTAGGACTTCCTGATTCATCATAATTCTTGAAAGCTTCAAAAAAACCAGTGTGTGCCTTTTCAAATTCACCTTCTCTCAAGCGCATTTTACCCCCACATTCTCTGACGACTCCCACAATCAGCGCAAGAGGGATGGCAGACTTGATGAAGTGACTGTTCGTAGAGTGCTTTAAGTTTCTTGTTATTTTTCTGTGCTGTGTACATTTGAATTTCCAAAGCATATATTTCTAACAAGTGTGTACCTTTTTTCAGGTCATCTTCTCCATCATCAGTCTGACAGGATTGATGTAATTGGCGTAAAATTTTTTTGAAGCTTTCCATATTCCTCTCGTTCTAAATATAATTTTCCCAGCTTTGTGTTTGTTTTAAACCATAGTCTATCATCCTTAACATCTTTCAAAGCTTCCAGTGTTGTTTCATAAAATTCCTGCAGTAAATCCATCTGTTTAGAAGTGGAGATAGAGTCAAGCATAGAATTAATGGATTTTCCAGGGTAATTTCTTGTGACTGGACTCCGAATATAGGTCAATAGTTGTTTATATCTATTCATCATTTCTGGAAAGTTTGTCAACTTGAAGTTAATCTTAATCATTGGTTTCAGTGCTTTAAATCCCCATTCTCCTTTTTCACCTTCAAATTCCAAAACCTTTTGGAAACTGCTTAATGCTGCTTTTGGGTCATCTTCTTTTAATGCTTTGGAATTATAGTACTGATTTTCCAAATCCACATTTGGCTCGGAGTTACTA